TCAATTGTGTAAAGCGCATTTGTACATCATTCTCAAAACATTTTCTCTCCACTTAAACCCCGACATTAGGTCCTCATTTTTCCCCTCCGAATCTTCTTAAAGTTGCTTGGCTGCTTACAGGGCATCCCATTATGGCGTTGATCACATTGTGTTAAATCACATCACAGAGTTACTAAGCTTTAACTGCCAAACTGTTGAGAATCCTGGTACAGCCAAGTTGACACAAAACCCAACTATCAAAACCCTCGATGAGATGACACAGTACCGACAACAACAGGTTCAAGAATAACATCAGTTAGGAGGATGGTACGGGACCAGGAAGATTTTGTTTAGTTATGTACAGAACAGAGATGGGTCAGAACCAACTTGATGGCACCTGATTAACAACCTCTCATTCAGCCACAGCAACCCTTCTTCAGTTTTCTAAAAGCAACAGTTTTCAAGTTTCCCTGCCGAGGGTTCCAAATTTATACAATATCACCTCTAGAGATATTCAAAGGATACCAAACTAAATCAAAATATCCCATGGCTCACCCACATTTATCACTTCTCTAGCTCAAAGGATATTATAATTAGGTTAAGGATTCTAGAAACATGATTAATACAGAAATTTGTTACAACAGTGTACATTTAATTATAACGAGTGTAATACCTCAAAAAATTTCTTTCAGATAATAAAAATGGTATGATAGCTTAAAGCTGATTCAATCACACTTTGCCAGCTGACTTATCAAGAGTGAAAACAGATTACTAACATAACTTAAAATGTTAGCCCACACCATGATACTTAATGCTTTTTGTATGGTTGGTAAGGCTTGCTTCAGTAGCTGACATAGAATTTATAGCTGCACTAAAATAGTCCTTTTCTCAGTCACATGGGATCCGGTGGCACTATGAGTCTGGAAGAGACTGGCTGTGGGTACCACTTCGGGTCTTCAGCTGTGACTGTGCGATATCAGCAAGGGCACTTTGTATCTTTTCCAGAAGTATGTCTCCCCGATACACAACGTCCTCCAGGCACGTAGCAGCTTCATGGTTTTCTTCTTCTAGCTTATATAAGCTAGCAGCCTGGATGAAAAAACAAAGGAAAAAACCTTTCCAAGAATGAACACAGGAGAGTAGTAACAACCAAAATGACATGAAAATGCAGCAGAATGGTTTATTTTTATTTTATTTTAAATTATTATCGTGAGTTAATACATGTCATTCCACAGTTCAATCACATCAAGCAAAATTGTATAATTGCTACCACAATTAGTTCCAAACATTCTTTTTCTTCCTGGATTCCTTGACATCGTCTCCTTTTTACCCCGCCACCAGTATGGTACCTCCTACCCACCAAAACCCTTATTCTACTAGCTGTCTATTCACCAACCCTGGGTTTCATGTACCAAGAAAGAGAAAAACATATAACACAACTTCAGAAGGGTGACCTCCAATGATGTAACACTTCTGATACACACCCTACTATGAATGAACAAAAACAAAACAAAGATACAGAAAATGTTGAAAACAAGATCAGGTCCAGCAAGCCTCAGAGGGGGAGAACTATTTATTTCTAAATCTAGATAAATTTTCTGTCATTGTGTATAGACTTTTCAGAAGTAATATATATGAGCTTCCTTTAAGGGTATCTTTTTAAAGAGTTCCCTATTAATTGCTTTTTAATAATAGATTTTCAATTAGTGGTCTTTGGATGCTTATCTGTGATTCCTTTTCATACTGCTTTTGGTTGCTTTCATACTACTATTTTAGTCATGGTCAGAAAGTCATTTTATTAATTAATTCTCTGGCTAAAAAAATTCGAGACAAGAGATTTTCTTATAATGTTGGACAAAAACATGTGTAGGAATATGTACGTGTGTTCATATATAAAACTGGCACAGCAGAACCCCTTGAAAGCCAATGCTTTGACTGGACCTTTTTGAAGGCACTCTTTTTTTTTTTTAAATCATTTTATTGGGGGCTCGTACAATCCCCATCGCAATCCATACATCCATCCATTGTGTCAAGCACATATGTACATTTGTTGCCATCATCATTCTCAAAACACTTGTGAAGGCACTCTTAAGACTAACACAAATCTTTATACATATGAACACATACACACACAAGAGCTGTAAAATGTTCATGAAAAAGTTCTATTATCTTTTGATTTTTCCATGAACTTTTTTTAAAGATCATTTTATTTGGGGATCTTACAGCTCTTATAACAATCCATACATCAATTGCATCAAGTATATTTGTATATATGTTGCCACCATCAACTCTTATTTTCCCCTCCCCACTCCCAATCCCTTGATAAATTATTATTATTTTCGTATCTTATACCAACCACTGTCTCCCTTCACCCATGTTTCTGTTGTTTGTCCCCCTCGGGGCAGGGG